GATGGGTCGGTTTCGACCTGGAAGGGTGTGGGAAGTGGGGTCCCACAGGGTTCGGTCCTTGGACCGATACTCTTTAATGTCTTCATCAGTGACTTGGACGAGGGAGTGAAATGTACTCTGTCCAAGTTTGCAGATGACACAAAGCTATGGGGAGAAGTGGACACGCCAGAGGGCAGGGAACAGCTGCAAGCAGATCTGGACAGGTTGGACAAGTGGGCAGAAAACAACAGAATGCAGTTCAACAAGGAGAAATGCAAAGTGCTGCACCTAGGGAGGAAAAATGTCCAGCACACCTACAGCCTAGGGAATGACCTGCTGGGAGGCACGGAAGTGGAAAGGGATCTTGGAGTCCTAGTGGACTCCAAGATGAATGAGAGTCGGCAGTGTGACGAAGCCATCAGAAAAGCTAAAGGCACTTTATCGTGCATCAGCAGATGCATGACGAACAGATCCAAGGAGGTGATACTTCCCCTCTATTGGGTGCTGGTCAGACCTCAGTTGGAGTACTGCGTGCAGTTCTGGGCGCCGCAATTCAAGAGGGATGCGGATAACCTGGAGAGGGTCCAGAGAAGGGCCACTCGTATGGTTAAGGGCCTGCAGACCAAGCCCTACGAGGAGAGACTAGAGAAACTGGACCTTTTCAGCCTCCGCAAGAGAAGGTTGAGAGGCGACCTTGTGGCTGCCTATAAGTTCATCACGGGGGCACAGAAGGGAATTGGTGAGTATTTATTCACCAAGGTGCCCCCAGGGGTTACAAGAAATAATGGCCACAAGCTAGCAGAGAGCAGATTTAGACTAGACATTAGGAAGAACTTCTTCACAGTTAGAGTGGCCAAAGTCTGGAACGGGCTCCCAAGGGAGGTGGTGCTCTCCCCTACCCTGGGGGTCTTCAAGAGGAGGTTAGATAAGCATCTAGATGGGGTCATCTAGACCCAGCACTCTTTCTTGTATATGCAGGGGGTCGGACTCGACGATCTATTGAGGTCCCTTCCGACCCTAACATCTATGAATCTAGGGAGAATAGATGGAAATAATCTGCCTACTGTGGGGTAGGCCACTAGTGGATGGCCTGTGGTGCCAATAACAGTCCTGTTGTTCCTTTTTACATAACAGTAAAGTTTTTCTTAACTCCAAAGTCTGTTTTGTTTTTGTTTTTTTTAAGCACAAATGTAAACTTATACTGACTGTTACACAACTTCAAGAGTTACTCCATTTTACAGTAGCTTATATTTAACTCAGTATTTTATATGTTACTACTTTAGAATCCCAGTTCTTTACCAGATTTCATGTTATGTGGGGTTTTATATTTTTCTTTTTTCGGATGAAATATTTGTTGATGGAAAATTCCAATTTGACAAAAACAATTTTTCACTGCAATATATATTACTATTAGTGAAACTTCATGCTTCATTCAGTTCTTCATTCAGAAGGGACTTATGCTTAGATCTCCCAGGTCCCATGGAAATGCCTTTCTCCTCCAAGCTTTTGGCTGCTTTGGGCTAGGGACAGACATTCAAAAAGCAGGAGCCTGAATTGATTCAACCTTTGCAGGTTAGTCTAATCCAGGGGTTGTCAGCCAGGGGTATGAGTACCCCCGGGGGTAATTTAGAAGGCCCTAGGAGGTGCTACCACCGCTCTGCATCTGGCTGCATGCCACCCCCTCCTCCCTGCTCTGCATCTGGCTGCACTCCATTCCCCCCCTCTACCCCTTGAGTCCGGCTGCCAGGGGTACACTGATCCAAAAAGGTTGTAAACCCCTGGTCTAACCTGCAGAGAGTAAACCAGTTTGCAACAGAACAGATATGCGGGCACATACCTGCAGTTGCTCAGGCTAGGAGCCAGGGGTGCTAGAGTATGCCCTTGGCTTCAGAGAAGCTATGGGGGGTGAGTGGGGGAGGGGGGCTGGCCAGTCTGGGCTTAACTAGCCAGAGAGGGGTTTAATTCCCCTCTCTCTCTATCCCACCAGTGGGGACCCGAGTCGGGTCTGCCAGTTGCTCCCCTCTCCTGCTGCAGCAGCAGGCACGGTGGCCCCTGAGTCAGATGGGGCAGGAGAAGGGGGGGCCCCTGCTGGCAGCTGGGTACCCCTACCTCCAGTGGCCGGGTGGGGGCATGGCCAGGTGCTGTAGGCTGGGTGGATCGGGCCTGCAGAGGGGCTTTGTCTGGCCCCCAGTGAGTCCCTCAGTCCCAACAGGCCAAAGTGCCAATCCCTGGGCACACAGCAGAGCTAGGACTGCTCTGTGGCAGGACTGCCTTTCTCAGCAGAGGAACATGGTAAAACTGAATAGAGTGAACCATCCTCGGCCACTTAGGCTCTTTCTTGTCAGTTGCCAGCAGCAACAAAACTTATATGCAAACATAGCAACAATTGCTTGTTTCGGCAAAGATGTAAACTAGTGATTCTCACCTAGGGAGCCGTGGCACTCTGGGGTGCCTTGAGATCTTTTCAAGGGGGTTCTACAAGTTGCCACACTATGTTTGTATTAAGTTTGCAAACATGATTCACAAAATAAATCCAAAGATTTCAAATATAATTCCATATAGTTGTGGTCTTTGAGTTCTTTGCAACAGAAAAACTGCTTTCTTCTTTTTCACTCCATTTTTTTTCAGTAGTTAAAAAAACAAACAAACCCCATGGCATTTTGCAAAGGGTGCTGTGAGTCTATCCAGAGGTGCCCAAAGTCTCAAAATATTGAGAACCGCTGGTGTAGATAAAATGTGAGGCATTTTCCCACAATCCTGTGCCTGATGGCTACTCTGAATAAATATTACTTATTAATTAAATGGAAATAAAATTCATTTGAATTCAAGTTTGTAGTATATGGTAGTGCATTACAAATAGAGACTGAATAATGCTAATGTGTTTCCTAGGAATACTGAAGAATGAGTCTGCTCCCGTTGACTCTTCACTTTATATGAATACTTGCATGTGGTTTGGTTTTGTTCCCCCCTTCCCCCCCCCCCACTCCCTGCTCCTCCATTTTAATGTTGCATTAAAGAAATGAATGCAAGTAGAATTGCCAAAAGATACCATGTCAATGTAGCTTTTAAAGAATTAGAATTACTTCTACTCTTGGAAAATATGCAGGTGGACCCACACCCACTCACATGAACACAATTTATAAAGATGACCAAATCCTCAGTTTATCTAAATCTAGGGATTTCCATTGATTTGTGCCAGCTGAGTATCTGATCTTGCATCTTCAATTTAGTTTAAGTAATATCTGGACCAAACAGTAATATGCTTGCTGTCATAAAACATGGACAAGCATTGTTGGCAATATGTATCAAGGGTGCTGAATAGCAATAACACAAGAAATGTACAGAAGATCATTAAACAGTTGTTGCTACACAGAATATTTAGTTACTTTCAGTAACTGTTTAGAAGTGGGAGTAGAGAGATCTAATGCGTGTTCTGGAGACATTTGATTAGCTTTTTTTTTTTTATCACTGAAGCATGCAGTCTGGAGTCTGGTAAAGGGAAAGATACCTGTCTTCAATACCATCACACCCTGCCCTCCAGCTGCCTGCCTGTTCATATTCCCACATCAGAGAGGACAAAACTGTCTACCGTGGTCACTAACAGGAACAGTTGAAACGCTGCTTCAAGGTTCATTTAGCTGCGTTCAGCTCACTGCTGGGAACTGAATGCTGGTTTGAAAATGAAAAGACTTTAATGAGTTGGGGGTCTTTATGGGACTGGTATTCTTGGCAGCGATTAACAGTAGGGGGTGTACAGAAGGTCAAAAGCTCTTCTTTTGAGGGGTCAGCAGAACATCCCTGTCTGATAAGATTAAACTAATGTGCCTTTTGGTGTTAATATCTAAAGCAGCAGGCTGCTGTAATGTGTTTGGGATGGCAGACACTGAAAAAGAACTGATGGTAATTTATTATAATAGAAAATGTCAGATGATTCAAACAAGTAATATTAAAGATATTTTTGACAGGCACGTGGGAAATGTTTGAACAACAATTAACACTAGAGCTATTTGTATGTTCTACAGCTGCATAAGTAATTGTTTGCATTTGTGTCCCAATGCATTGTTTTATATATAAATTCACTTCTTGACTGTGTTTCATTTGTCTTCTCTGCACTTATTAAATATATTAAATGTACGTTAGTCATCTGTGTTATTGTGGGTAATCTTTATGTCTGTATTTTAGTTCTCAGATTACTTTACTGGATATTTCAATGGACAGTACTGGCTTTGGTGGATATTTCTTGTACTTGGTAAGTCATAATCAAATACAAATTGTAGTTTGATGTGGTATTTCTGAAAGATGAAACAGTTGCTTGTGCATGTAAAAATTGAGTTCTGTAACATATTAAGTTGTTTCTTCATCTACTGAAAATCCTGTATGTTTTATTTCCATTACTACCACCAAATTCTCGGTTGCCCTGGTGTTACTGTGAGAGTTGCAAATTATTTTATTAACTTTCACATTAGAATTCTGTGCCAGATATAATTATAAGCAAAAATCAACAACATTTACAGCTGACCTAGGAGCAGAAAACTATGAAGCTGAACTTAGTTTTTTTTTACATTTATGCTTGTGTGTGAAAGTTGTTAATTTTCAGTATGTACATATGAAATTTGTACACATTTGTTCTTGGAGGTTCCTTAAATTTTAAGAGAGATGACTGATTTAAAAGAGATGACAGATACTATCATCTTTTATTTGAGTCATGATAACATCCTTTTTGCCTTTTGAAATGCACACTGCATTAATTATTACTCAGTCAGGCAAGGGAAAAGCTTCATGCTTTCTGATCACAGTGCTTCCGTTCAGTCACTTTTCAGAAGAAAACTATGCTTAGGTTCATGCTCAGAAGTTGTATACACTTCTAACTCTTGCTCCTTTGTCTCTGATTTCAATAACAGTGATGTCAAAAAATATTACTGTTGTAAATTTTTTTTTTTCTTACACAAATTTTCTAATTTGATACGAAACACAGTAGATGCTTTGATTTTACTTGAGGCTGTACTACTAATCCTATTTCCTGCTGTTTCCTAATTAGAGAAACAGTAACCTGTGATGAGGTTGATACAGTAGGTGGCACTCTTTCTCCGAGTCATTTCTGAGCCAATGACCTAGCAGCAAAATGTTAGGGAATCCTATGCTGGGAGTGAGAAGCATAACCGATCTTGACTATTTGTGATTCCTAGGAGTACAATGGCAATGTGCTTGCCACCTAAAACTTCCCTTACCCCTTAACTTAGGTATGAGGGTTTTCTTTGCTTTTTATCTTGAATTTGCTTTTCTTCTGTACCTGTGCACTGCATAGGGCCTGGAATCTGTGGGAATTGCAAGTGCTTAAAACTTTTCATCATCAGACCCCTTAAACAGCTTCTTATTCATCAATTCTGTTTCAGAGGTGGCTTTGTTTCAGCAGTAATGAAATAATTCTTTGCACATACATGTGTACATGCATGCCCGGGCCAATATGTTCAAATTTGTGTGGCTAACATTTGGCTTTTAAACCCAAGTAACAGTAGTGTTGTTTGTTAAAGGTACTGTGTACCTGTAGCTCATGCTGATCTCATTGGTCTGAATGGGAACTCAGAAACTTCACAGATCAGGCCTGTTTTATTTGGGAGTCAAACTTTAGACTCTGAATTACAACGTTTTCATGGTAGTTCATACTACAAATTTTATACTTTGGAATTCACTGGGATGAAAGGCACTGGTTGGCATTTAAACGCATAGAGCGATTAAGTGTCACCCTTTTTTATAGAAAATATTTTGACTGAAACGGGTCTGCTTGCATATTACAAACTTACAGATTGGAAGCTAAGCACTTTAGCTGTTATTTAATTCTGTATAAGAATTATTGCCAAGTAAAAATACTTGAGTGTGCTCAGTGTCAAGGAATGCTGTCAGAAGTTTCTTAATAGTGTTTTGAACACCTTCCTGATTAGACTACCTTTTTAGAATGTGGGTCCTAAATTTTTAAATACTTTGAAGATATAAAATAATCCATGTCCCCAATACATGAAGTAGAGTGACAAGAAAGAACATATTAATTTTAAAACCAGTAGATTAGCCAGCCATGATTGTTGAAGACTATAAGGCTAAGTTTCAACCCTGGAATAGTGGAACCGTGACTGAGCTTGGAATCTGCTTTCAGTGTACAGCCTCTTAAAGTACTACATTATTTACAATAGAAAGCACCTGACTCCTTGAATACTACCTGTCTTTCCACTCTGCTCTTGCAGTAGCCCTACATCTGGATGTGGAATCAGGTCACGTGTATGTGGCTGGGGGCTCAGGCAGCAAAACTGTACCAGATTGCCATAACATTCAGCTCAGTCACTGAGTGCATTTTACCTGAGCCTCAGAGGGCATTTATACACACAGTTTTTTTGGTCCCGCAACACGCCAGAGACCCACTGCTTTGGAGCAGTGTCATGTGCAGTTATATAAGTGGCGAAATGCATCTCAGCGTGCAGAAAATGGTGGTGGTGCACTTTTGAACTAAAGCACCTTCTGTGTTTTAGTTCAAAAGCACATCGCCACCATTTTTTCAGCACTGACGTGCGTTTCACTGCTTATACAACTGTAAGCGTTGCGACACTTGGTGCTTTTCAAAGTGTCTGGTGCTGTGGAGCTTGCATGTGTGAAAATGCCCAGAGATGGTAATCAGCTGCATCTTCCTGAGCCTTCATCTGGGTGAATGAGTTTTTGGTGTAGGTTTTTCCAATAACAACAAAAAAGAGCAAAAAGGGAAAACAGAGAAGATTTTGTGATGAGCTGGGATCCTGGTTTTCCGTTTCCCACAGAAAAACAGAGAAAACCACGGATTTTGCATTTTTATCAGAGAAAACACTGATTTTTCCCTTTTAGAAAAGAAACCCACGGATTTCCCCCTTTTGCAAAGAGCTCTGCAGGCTGGCTGAGTTCCAGCCTCCAGGAGCTGTTTGCAAAAGGGGCAGGGAAACCCAACTCTGCCTGGAGGGGAAGGGAGGGGGGAAGGGCAGGACCCAACATTCACACTTACCGGAGACTGCTTCAGGCTTATCCTTCTTGCTGGAGGTAAGTGGGGCTTCGGGGTTGCGGGGCAAGGCTGGAGGGGGAAGCTGGCTGGGGGCTAAAGAAGCGGGGAGGCTTGCAGCCAGCAAGGCACTCTGGCTGGGAGGGGGTGTGTGGCCTCCCTACTGGAGTGCTCGGCTGGCTGGAAATCCCCACCAATCCCAGCCAGCTGCAAACCTCCCTGCTCCCTCAGCCCCCAGCCAGCTTGGGTACTCCCTGGCCGGGCACTGTAGCTGGGAGGGAGGATTTGCAGCCAGCCCAAAGCAGCAGGGGTTTCCAACCAGCCGAGCACTCTGTAAACCCTGGGTTACAAACACAGTACTCCTCGCCATGCTGCCCTCCCCCAGGCTCTCCAGAGCGCAGTATGTGTGACTGGCATGTCAGGGCACAGTGGGGCCACACATGAAAACTGCCTGCTGCTCCCCTGGCCACACTTCCTCTGCTTGCACAGGGGCAGTGCACATCCGCCCTGCCTCTCCCGCACAGATCTGCGTGGCACAGGTCTCCCCTGCTCCACAGGAGTGCACACTGCCACTGGGAGCTAGCCCTGCCTATGCCTGCAGCAGGCAGCAGCAGAGGGGAGCCAGCTTGTGCTCCTGCTGTAGCAGCTGCTACCTTCCATTGGGGGCAGGGGACTGTGGACTGTGGCCCCATAGCCCTGGCAGCTGGGGGCCCCCTCCAGCAGGGCTGAGGGTGGGGTGAGGGACACCAGCAGAGCTGTGGTAGGCATTTAATTTTGACCACAGTTTTGGGGGTTTTTATCAGAGAATTTGTGGGGTTTTTTTGTTTGGTTTTTTTTTTAATGGCGGAAAACCAGGATCCCTGGTGATGAGAGAGAAACTGAGAATCCAGACAATGGGAAGAAAAATAGCGGAGCAATTGCGCTAACTGCACTGACATGTTACTTGATGGGATATAGGGAGAAGAATGCTTCCAGTCACTGTGGCTAGAAGTGGTTTTCAGTATTGCACAATAAAAAAAAAAAAAAAAATGTAATCCATTGGCATGTTGGCATCTTCAAGACAATTGCAAATAAATTGTATGCTCATGTGAGCGTACAACTCTGCATATTTAAATTTGATATACTTTAGAAAAAGGTGCATTTGGGTTGGTGAACTCTGTTGTTGTTGTTGTTGTTTTTGTTTTTTTAGGTTTTTTAAGTATTCCAAAAAAACTTACTAGATCTGAAGGAAAACAATCAGTTTGCACATAGGCATTGTCATTCTGGATCAGACCCAGAGTCTTCTCTAGTCCAGCATGCTATGTCTGACAGTGGGCAGCACCAGACCTGCTGAAGAAAAGGGCAAGAAACTGCAGATGTGGCATTAATATACTTCTGACACTTAAATCCAAACTGTTAAAGCCTTGAAACATAAGGAGTTATGTCCATTCTGTAACTTTTATTTCAATACTTACCATAATGTTAGTAGTGGTGGTGGTGGTGGTGGTAGTAGTAGTAGTAATGCCTTCTATTGATGAGATCCTCTGTAGCTCACATTTTTAAAAGGAGTTGTAAGTGTTATTACCCCACTTTATATATGAGCAAACTGAGGCATAGAGAGGTAAAATGATCTCCAAAGTTTGTCTATCAGACAAGTGGCAGGACTGCTGACTTCTGGTCAAGTTCTCTGTCTGTGCTATGCCACATTGCCTTCTCTTTTCTGGTTGACTCTTGTTCAAATAAATGTCCTGTGCATCTTTGAACTGATAAATTATTGCCATCAACAGTATCTTGTGATAGTGAGCTCTCTCATCTTCTTATACACTGACACTTGGAACAAGAACTTTCATATGATAACTATGTGTATTTGTATGGTGACTCCTTAAACTACTGTAGCTGAAAGCTGAGAGTGTGGTTAGTTTCCAGGTGATCTGCGGTGTGACCAAATAAAGTATGTACTTGTAACTCATGCTCCAGAGTGATTGTCCAATGTTGTCTTTCTTTAGTCTACTAGTATAAAAATACACCTGTCCAAATACTGAGGCACCGTTTATTTACATTTATTATTACCTGGCATGTTGGGTTTTTCCCTAACTGGCAACATATTTATACTCATCTACATGTATATATTTCTGGCTGTATTTCAGTATTCAAGTTGTCTTTTAAAACAGCAACAACTCATCCTGCTGTTGAGGCCTGTATTTGCTTAACCCTTTTTTTAAACGGAGTATTTTAAAACTGTATTTCAAGGATTTTGTCTGCTTTTAAAAATTGTTTAAGTTTAGTACAAATGATAGTCTTAAACCCGAGTCTAAATTAATTGTAAAATCTTTTGTGCTGTCGGAACTCTTGTATCTGTACATTGGGTGTAGGTAAACATCATGAGGTTAGGTTATATTCATAACCTCATAGATTGGGTTTTTGAAGGTCAAATTGTGTGCGCGCGCGCATGCGCACATTCTCTCAATTTTTTGCATTCTTTTAATGGGACGGTAAAAAAAATTCAAAATATTATACAACTAGATATTTTTGTACATTTATTTACCTGCATTTTTAATGCTTTCAGGCCTTCTCCTGTTTTTTCGAGGGTTTGTCAATTACCTTAAAGTCAGAAACATGTCTGAAAGTATGGCAGCTGCTCATAGGACAAGATTTTTTTTCTTGTACTAGAGGTAAGCAATTGTTATTTTATTGAGATAAATGTTAATTGTCCCAGGAGATAAATTCTGTTTTTTCTTGGTCAACAGATATTAACAGCCTAACATTTCCTTCAGGGAACATTAAGTTTTGGTCACCAAAACAATAAGTCTTTGTTGTATGCATGTTAAATGCTGTAACAATGAATTCTGTCTCCATTCTGAAGTATACTTCAGGAGCATCCAGAATTCTCCTCTTCTGACATTAAGAATTTTTTTTAAGTTAAAACTCTTTCTTTTGAAACTAATGTTCTAAGCAAATATAAGCTTAGAAATCAAGTTCACTTTGTATAAAGAGTAGTAGCTGCAGCTAATCAGGATATGGACATTAGCACACGAGAACTGATTGGCTCATCAGTCAACCTATTCTCAGCCAGTCAGGAAGCACTGATCTACCTGAATATTAAATCTGATTGACATTCACTCCTGAGGCCAGACTATCAGTGTATTGCCTGTTTTATATGAATGATTTAAGCTAATCACAAACCATAATTTTTATTATTTATGTAACAATGTACTTTATGTTCTTGTTTTAGTTGGCTAATCAGTTTGGCTTTTTGTCTCTTAAGTACTACTTAGCCATTATGTGGATTGTTGGCCTTTGCTGCATAATTTAACATGGGGAGATTTGTTTGATTTTAACACCATGATTCTATTTGAGTCCATAAATAATTACCATGCATTTTCATTATTTTGTGCACAGCTTTAAATGTTTAGTATTGGTTCTCAGTTTTATTTAATTTAAAAGCTGTATTTACTATAATAAGCAGACTTTCTTTTAACTTCTTTTTTCAAGATTGGCTACAGGATCAGTACGAAGTAACCAGCAACTCACTATTGGAAGTCTGAAAAAAAACAAAACAAAACAAAAATCCTGAGACAGTATTTGCCTAGAAAGGATGTGTCTTTTTATTTAAGACAGCAAAATCCACTTTAATGAACACCTAATGATAAATATGGAAAATCATTACTTCTGCTGTGCTTTTCAGTTCTTGATCATGGAATTAATCTGTTAAGTGAATAAAACTGTAATGTAATATGCTTTTATCATGTGCCATTTTGTCAAAACTATGCAGTAAGGTAAACTCTTAAATGATAACTGAAAAATATATTGCCTTTTAAGAAACAGCCTAAGTTAGCAACATCTACAGTGCAGTGTTCCCTTCGTTTTGTAGCAATAATATACATTTTATTTTCTGAGCAATAAAGTGGCCTCTTTAGAGTTAAGGAAAAATGTATAGTAAACTCCTGCATGAAAACATCTAATATGTATTTAATAAATTTAGATCATGTAGAACAAAATTTAATGTAGGAATAGAGCTTTCCAAATGCTGGGTGATTAAAAGTCTAATAGTATCTGGCTGACTTTGCCTCAAAAGGTGGATGCGAGGAAGATAGTGTAGTAGCATATGCTATTGGTCTTTCATCTCCTCAGGCTTGAAATTCTGGAATAGGATGAAAGATTAGGACCTTTATGTAACACCCACTGTAGACAATAAGAAACTTTCTATTGACTGGTCTATTAGCTTAAAGCATCTCTAACCATTACACAGTAGGAGCTACACAGACTCAAGAAGTTCTTCAAGAGCTAGACAGACTTGCCCAATATTTGTTCAAAGGTATTAAATATTTAATTGAAGTAATAACTACAAAGCAAATGTCAGCAAGCATAAGCGAACTGATATAGAGAAGATATTTTCTGTCCAGTAAAATGATTTCTAAATAAACAAATAAATGTTAGCTATTCTAAATACTGTAATATGAATAAATATTCCAAAAACAGAAGCCTTAAAAATATTTTGGATGGGTCTTTTCTGCCAGTTTCTCCTGTCATCCTGATTGGGAGAAAATTGATTTTGCTTTAAAAAAAAAAAAAAAAAAAAAAAAAAAAAAAAAAATGGTTTCCTGCTTTAACACTCACCTCAATTATCAGTGTTGCTTACAGTTAATCAATCTGATGAACTGAAGTACGATTCTTTCTTTATCTCTAGACTGCATCGACCAGACATTCCCTTCCTATACCAGTGTGAAATTTCCAGATGATCTGTAACTCTCCAATTTAATATGATAGAAGACTACTAAAAACAGAAGACAAATTAGTGAAGAAAAGATGCAGCTTCAAAAAGAATGACAGGGTGGTTTATGCTTAAGTCCCAGTTTTGTTCATTCACGTAAATATATAAAACATTGCCTTTTTGTTTTTGCACATTTGCTTATGTGCTAAGTAAAAGGATAGGACTGAAATAAAATCATACCCTACAATACAGCCTGTTAGTAGAGATTAAATACAGTCAGACTTGGTTAATCTGTGCTTGTTGTATCTTAAAGACTCAAGTGGTATCTTGTCTTACAGCATGTGTATACCACTGACTTGTTGATCTGAAGTTTAGTTCAGTAAAATTTGAAATATACTGATTCAGATTAACCAGTTCAAACAGTTAGTTAGTGTTTATGTAATTTAGATTAATGATTGTGCAACATAGAACACTTGTTAAAGTTTACAAAAATTTGCAAATCCTCATTATTATAAGTGTTTAATGATCAGCATTTTATCAAACTCAGACCAACTTAGTAGTTTGTTTAAAAATGAAATACCACTTTGAGCCCCCATGTAAATATCTATGCATAAATTACTGTTTAGATTGTTTCTTAGGAGTGATGTCAAAATTATATTTGTAACCATAGTATTTCTCATTCACTTTAAATTATGTTTACTCATAATATGAACAATATATGTTTTGTTAATTTGGACATTAAAGTTATAGTTTTATTTTTGGTATAATTCTTTGAGGGTAGAAGGTATTGAATGTCCATTTGAACAGCAGGTTATTCTCTGCATGATTTGAGTAACTAATTTGGACCCAATCCTGAAAACCCTTGGTTATGCAAATGACTCTTTCTTCTGTAGATAGCTCCATTGAAAGAGACAGATCTACTTCCAGTCAGCAAAGATTGCTAAGGTTGGGTCCTAGGCCCTTTTTATGTAAATAGGTCTCTGCTCCAGCAACAGCTTTGCAGATCAGGTCCCTGTTTAATTACATTAACCTTTGTATTTACCAAATGTTCTGTTTGCTATTACCCTGAAATCCACTTTGAGTTTCTCAAATGGTGCTTACAGGTATCTCACCATGCTTAATTTAGAAAAAATGACTTCAGTCTTTCAAAAAAATGTAGATCCGACTTAAAATTGTAATACATGTATGTAGGGGGAGGGGGGTGTTTTTCCCCTTCATCAGTCTTTTATTTTAAAACTAACAGCAAAAAAATAAAACCAATGCACTCTTACTAGTATTCACTTAACAGTAATAGTATTATGTTTTTAAAGGTATCATCTCTTTAGGGGTGCATTCTACTGTTCATAAACAAACATAATTCCCTGCAATAGTTGTAAGAGATATGCCTTGCCAGGATAGGAGAATAGACCTCTTAATCCTTTACTACAACTGGAATCTCAGTGACAACCAGTAATCAACATATTTTGCTTTGTGGGAGGGCAGAATCCTCCTTTTTTTTTTTTTTAATTTGAATTTTTTTTAATACTAACATAAAAAAAAATGAGATTTTTGTTGTCTTTAAACTAGTAATGCTTTATTCAATTTTGTATTTACGCTGAATGTTTAAAAAATGCATATGTAAACAGGTCACATAGTTTATTGTTCTTAATTTGCATAGTTAATAAAAAAGGTAAACAATTATAAACTAATACTTCTGGGAAACCTCCCTTTCCCGGGCTTTTCTGGAAAAAATAAAAGAAATAAAATGATTATGTTTAATAGTTGTTTTGCATTTCCCTCTGAATTTCATCTGTGTTTTTATACTTTTTTCATTTATTGTCCTTCTGCCAGAGAAGAGCAATGTGTAAGACCCTTGCTTTTTTTAGTTTTTGCACCTTACATTAGAGAATTTCATGCTGCAGTATTCTGCTGCAATTGACTAACATGGAATTACATGCAAATGATATTGCTAACTTGCTCCCCCTATTTTTCCTCCTTTTTTCATCCCATGTTTTATTACTCAAAACTTTTACTGTGTTGACATTTTAACTTTTTAGTATAAATGTGAAATGTATGTAATGCTGATTTTCCTTTTTAAATTTACCAAGTTCAGCTAGAACAGTAAATACCAATTTTCCCATGTTAAATATCAATCTTCTGCTTGATTTTTTTTTTCTCTGTTTAGTACATTTTGCGGTACCATTTTCACATTTTGCGGTACCATTTTTCCTACATGAATTATTTCCAGGCTAACTTCGAAGCATTCTTCTTCATTCTGACATGAAGAATGTATATGGCGAAGACATACATCTTATCTGTTCCTCTTTAGTAGATGCAGCACTTTGGTAGCCTGAAATCTCATCAGTGGGAGGAAGGGAATTGGCACATTATTTCAAAGACTCTGCAATCTATTCCAGATGTGTCAAGTGCCGCATATTTTCCTTGCTATTTCCTGTGAGTTTGGTTAGGAGCAGCTGCTTCGGTGGTTTAGAAACACCTGGCCAGCTTTGCTTTGTGTGGTAGTTGGAAAACAAACCCTAGTATCACTATGAGGTTGACTGTAAACAGATTTTTTTTCTATGAATTGCAAACAGAACTTTGAAGTTGGGGAAAAAAAAAATCTATTAAATTTGAGTAATTGCCCAAATCCAATTTATGTAAGCTTTCCTCTTGCTTGTCTCCTTTATCCGGGGCACCATAGGAAGAAAGACAAGACACCAGGGATGTGATATAACTAGGGTGCATCTGTGTTAAGTTAACACATCTGGGAAACAATCTGGCAGTAACTCATCATCCTTCCTTTCATAATCTATACCATCTGAAGGTGGGCTGCCCTCTGCCCTCACCTGTCTGCACCACCTGGGGGATGAATGACATCAGTCTACTACCTGTCAAAACTTTTAAGTCTAATCCCAACACTCCTGCATGGACACCCTG